AACAGGGGACTTGGTGGGATTTGAGGGAGCTGGACAGACCACCACCTTCAACAAACATCATGTAGAGGGCTCTAAGGGAAGGGGCTCTAGAAGGGAGAGGGGCATCCCACTCTACATAACATCAGCAGACCTGAGACGAATGATTCCACCTCATTGGGTACTGAGTCTCAGTAGCCGTGAAGACCTGAAGGGACAGTCACAGGGTAGAGCCCACAGATTGGCAAACCCACTTCTCTATTCTGACCCTGGACTGTTTGCAGTTCTCGTAACCCCGTGGATCCCAAACTGTGCACTGAGGTGCTGGGGCCCGAGTGAACTCACAGGGGCACCTCTGGGCGCTTTAAATGTCCGGGAAGCACAGCAACAGCCCCAGCCACACACGGCACATGCACTGCTGGGTCCAGGCAGCCACCTTCTCAGTGCCGGATCGCGCTGCCTGATCTAATTCCATGGTGAAGTGCCCAAAGCGTAAACGCCCCAAAAGTAAATAATTATGGTTAAGAATAATACAATATTATTTTTTACAATGTGTGTGTAATAATTTGTCAAGTATATACGGAGGTGTTAAGACATAAATACTTGATAAGCTGTTTATTAATGAGCGGAACTGTCAGTTATTTCTTTTGTCCTGAGGGGTCCGTGAAATCTACTGAGACGCAAGGGGTGCCCTGTCCCCAGGCTTTGGGAAGTGCTGCCCTAACATTTCATTGGGGTGACCATGGCTAAGCATCCTCCTGGCCCAATTATAGATTCCTTCTGACTGTGCCTTGTCTCAGGAAAGGCCCGGTCTGGAGAAATGGGTGCAGGAAAGGGAAGGTGAAGCACTCCTGCCATGAGAGATGCAAGCAGGGTTCAGCCCCCACTCCCGCCTTCCCCCAGCCCCTCCTTTTCCTCTAGGAGGCAGCCCCTTCACTCCTTTGGGGCATCATGTCTTAATTCTCTACCTCCACCATTTCCCCTCCTTGGGTTACTGCGATAGATTAAGAACTGTTATGGACTGAATGTGTGTGTCCCCCCCAATTCATATGTTCACTCCCAACCTGCAATGTGATGCTATTGGGAGGTAGTGGGGCCTTTGGGGGTGATGAGTTCATGAGGACGGAGCTCTCATGAATGGGATTGGTGCCCTTATAAACGAGACCCCAGAGGGCTCCCATGCCCCTTCCGCCCTGTGAGGACACAGCAAGAAGATGGCCGTCTATGAGTCAGGGAGCGGGTTCTCACCAGACACTGAATTTGCCAGCGTCTTGATCTCCAGAACTCTGAGAAATAAATGTCTGTTGTTTAAACCACTGGGTCTATGGTATTTTTGTTACGGCTGCTCGAATGGACCAAGACAAGTACCTACAATGCATCGGGCATTGAGTGAGGTTCTGGTGATACAGAGAACAACTCAGTGGGTTCTCAGGCAAAACGGCACAGTGGGAAGGGGTGTTAGGCCCTGAAGAGCAGGGGAAGGGCCAACCTAGTCTCTGCCCGGGTCACGCACAACGGCAAAACTAGGACTTATTAGCACCCTGAAATCCCCAGGCAATATTCATCCCTGAGCAAGGTCACAGAAATAGCAAGCCATGCATCCTCCACCCCAGTCCTCTGTCCAGGCTGTCCGCAATCGGCAGGTTGCTCTCAGCCTCTGTCCAGTTTCCCTCCTACACGAAGCCTTCGCGGTGGTCAGACTGTCTATTCACTCACACCCCTTTAGGTTCCTGTTCATTCCACCTGCACTGCTTTGCCCACGCTGCCCCCACCACCTCTGTGTCATCCGATGCAGACCCTGCCCATCTTTACATGGCAACAGCCCCACCCTTCCCAGACAGCCTGCCATGACTGTGGTTCCTCAGACACTTCCCCTTAGCTTTCAGGTTCCTCTAATTGTTTCACAGTGTAAACCTCAGCTATCAGAATGATTACAGTCTTGGGGATGGATTTAGTCTGCGGTTTAAGTCCCACAGTGAGAGGCAGATTTCATACGCATCTCTGAGATGATGAACAAAATCCTGAATTTAATGAGAAGCAAAGAATCAAGATTATCACAGCTCACATTTAGAATAGGAACTGATACATAGCAGGCGGTATAAAAGTGTTTTCTGCGTACTAACTCCTCTAGTCCTCCCAACAACCCTGTGAGACATGCACAGGTAAGGACGTGGTGGCCCCAAGATGGCAGGTTGCAGCACTCCAAAGAGGCAGAGCTGGGATGCGAACTCCAGCAGGCTGGCTCCAGAGTCCGTGTTGTTTCCTGCTATGTTCTGCTCCCATCTCAATTATTCATCTCAGGTGCAGCGCAAATTAACACGTATGAGATATATGCTGGCTGCTAAGAGTTTTAGAACTAAGTATTATTTACAAATGTAGGGACTTTCTTCTGTTAGAATCTCTTGATGTAACGTTCCCTTTCGTTCCCCCTTACAACTCTTTTTTCTTCGTTCGAGTTAACATTATTTTTGGAAGTAGGCAGAATACACATATGTCTATGTAATTTGATCTCCAATTAATATGTTTGTTTGTTCATCTATTAACAAATACTTATTGAACATTTACTCTGTACCATTCACTTTGCTAGACACTAGAGAGGTGAGTAAGCTGTGTTTTTTCCCTATGGACGCCCACTTCAGGCATCAACAAGACTAACAACTACTACTTACTGACACTGACTTCGTGCTGAATGTTTCACATGCATCATCTCGTTTGATCCCCGTAACAATCCTAGAGGACAGGTACTATTATCACATTGATTTAACAAATGAGGAAACCAAAGTTCAGAGCAATTAAAGACCCTGCCCGATATCACGGAGATAATAGTTGCAAGGCTGGGATTTGACCCGACACGTGGCTGACCCCAACACTCGGGACTCACCACTGCTGCCTGCTGAGACACTGCTCCTGCAGGAGGGAAGGCTGCACCTCTCTGCATCGTGCCTGCTGCTCTCAGTGGTGAGAAGGAAGTACTCTGAGGACCTGGAGGATGGAGTGAGTGATCCCGCCAGGCAGGCACATGGGTTTCTGGGATCTGGGATCAATCACTCTCGAAGGTGTCAATGTCTCATTGGTGAAACAGCAGTGATTACTCAGACATTCAAACCATGTTCATGCATGGTCTCCATTTGCACATGTACCTGCCACTTTTAATTTCATCTTCCTGCCCCAAAATCCAAACCCAGGAGGTGTATGATGGACAGAGACAATTGGTATAAAGAAAAAGGAGTTTGCAAATTGCAGTCTAGATAAGTGATCTGCGTGAGCTCTGTGCCGCTTTACTTCTACAGAGCAGCTAGCTAGTTCTCAAAGCGTGCATTCTCAAGTTATGTTCTGTGCCACTTCGTTAAACAGAAATTATATCCCACTCAACGACACCTTCTGAACCAGCAGGGCCACGTGGACTGGGGTCAGGTGCAATGGGAGGCCTCACTTTCAGCATGAATTTCCATTGATGGGCCCGGGAGGCAGGAGTGTGTGTAACAGAGTGTCTACACCAGCGCACGGCTGGGGCCGTGAATGGAGCCATTGCCCAGGAAACGAGTTGGGAGACACCACTGGAGCAGGAACACTGAAGGAAGTCTGTAGACTTTCTGAAATGACAGGTTTTCTGTAGGTCTGCCAGCCCACCCATTTTTGCAGGTCCTTGTCACTTGTCCCTCAGAGCGACAGCTCCATCAGACTAGGTGCGTGTCCAGTCAGGAGGCACCGGAGGAAGAGCCCGCCAGAAACGTGCTCCCGAGTGAAGACTCCGGGCCCTTCACTGTAACACCGCCCTGTTAGGGTTGAGGAACCAACGAGCCAAGGGGTTTGTACGTCTAGTTCACTTCATATATTTCCTGACTTTGCTTGTCACTTGCGTGCTTTCTCTTCAAGAGTTTTCACGTGACTGTGGGCCCTGGGACGGCTGGCCGGCCACGAACACGCCAAGCACCGGGACTACACCTGCCTCTGTCCCTCCTTCCTTACAGGATCTGGCTCCATGACAGCGCTGCACCGGGGGCAGATGCTCGTACTCACAGCTGAGGGGCAACTGCCACTCTCCCCTCCTCCTCCTCCCTGTGACGCTGCTACACGAGGCTCTTCTGGTTCCTCAGAAGCTGTATAAACAGCATCTCCCTAACAGGCAAGTCCTCCTCAGCAGTATGTTGCTGTCAGCTGCTGAGGCCGGGAACATAAACACAGTCACTGAAACTAACACCACCCCCATGGCATCAGCCCCTGGGTCCCCCTCGCAGGAGGGAGGGGGGCAGGAACAGGCTTAAAGGGAAAGGAACGGAGTTTAGGGCACCGACCCTCCTGATGGTCTGCGTGAGGACTCTGAGCTGGCTAGTCGCTCTGCCTCATGCTCCCTCGCTCTCCTGCTCTCACTCTCCACAAGCACAGAGGCCCCAGCTGCAGGGCACCTGGCTGGGGTCCTCCTCAGTTCGTGCTGGGGCAGGGAATAAAGGCAGGAGGGCAGAGACAGGGGAGCTGGGCTCTCTGACTGCGGAGTACTATATCTTAAGTCCCAGGTGCATGAAAAAGGTAGTGTTATGGGCTGAACTGTGTCCCCCAAAAGTCATATGTTGAACCCTAACACCCAGTACCTCAGAATGTACTGTATTTGGAGATAGAGCCTTTAAAAAGATAATTAAGGTAGAAATGAGGCCATATGGGTGGGCCCTGATCCAATCTGAGTGGTGTCCTTCTAAGAAGAGGAGATCGAGACACACACACAGAGGGATGACCACGTGAGGACACAGGGAGAAGACGGCCATCCGCAGGTCAAGCAGAGAGGCCTCGGGAAGAACCAGCCCTGCCCACACTTTGATCTCAGACTTCCAGCCTCCAGAAGTCCACCCTCCTCCTGTGAGACACAGCCTCCATCTGCAGTACTCTAAGGTAGCCCCAAGTGGACTAACACAGGTGGGCTCCAGTGAGAGAGGGCAGAGCCTCGGCGTCTGTTCTGGTGTCCCCCTCATGCCTTTCTGTGCGTTGCTTCTGCCACCAGCACTCAGGCTGTCACACGCTCCACCACCCACCATCTCCTAACCTACTCAAGTCAGCTTGCTTGCAAAGCAAATTAAACTCTACTTGAAATCCTCTAAGTTGATGTGACAGAAGAGATTTATGGGTGGGCCATGAAGTCTTTCAGGAATGTTCCTTAAGTTTAAGGTGACTAAATGACCCTGTTTTCCCAAGACAGTTGTGTCTTCCTCCTGTGGCCCTGGCACAATGATTAATAGTGTCTCCGTTCACTCTCCCATCCTGGTTTGGATGATAAATTATTTGGAGAAGTTATTCTACACACTTGTGCCTATGCACACTCCAAGGATCAGATTACTAAGTTAATAATAATAATGAATTAATCATTCTCCTCACTTACTGATACCAACACTCAGTTTCCTTTCAGTGGGTTAGGGAATGTGGTATATGACATTAATCATAATATTTAGAAATTTTTTTTTTGCCAACTTTCCATTAGATCTATTATTGCAATTGATGTTCATGCAAATCCTCTATGATCAGGAAGACAAATCTCTCTTCTCTAGAAGATTCTTGGACAAGAATAGGTTCCATCAAAAGTCTTTGGGGTCTTGTCTTAGGTCTCAGAGTAGCAGGGTCAGAACTCGAATTTTTGTCTTTACCACACTTCTGGGAGAGTTCAACCTTAATGGTTCTTTCCTTGGGGGGTTGTGGGTGGGAGGCAGAGGGGATCGGTGTATTGTTTTTTTGTGGTTAGTTGGTTTTTTTTTTTTTATTGATGTTTTAATGGTTTCTAACATTGTGAAATTT